AGGGGAGTTAACGAGAGCGCCGAAAGTGCTTATGCTGGTGTAGAATGACAGCGATTAAGAATAATCTGGGTGCAAATAATATGTGAGGGTGTAGAAATCATAGCGTTAAGTGGCATTAATTGTACAAGTGCTGACTGCGTTTAGTTGGGTTTGTATGTGTGTAATTCTGTTCAGTTATTTGTTCTTGTTTGAAAAGTGTTTCCCCCTCCCATTATGTCTGTTGCTGGATTGTGTGCACCTGGTGCCCTGTGTTGTCTCCTCCCCCCTCACCTGTGTCTTGTTGGTTTGATTGGTCTGGGTGTATTTAGGCTCTGTTTTTCCTGTCAGTGTGTGTGAGGTCCTTGTGGCTGCAGGATGTGTTCAGGGAGAACAGCAGGATTGAGGCTGTGAACTATGTGCACATGATTTTAATAAATGCCCACACCGGGTTATAATTTTGGACGTTCTGCCTCTACCTCCTTGCTTAGTCGGGCCGCTCAATTGTCAGCTTCACAGTGCACCTTGCGTTTCAACAAATAGGACTTCCTCCCTCGAGATTCTACCGGCTTGATGCTACAGTAATGCTAAATGATGCTAACTACGACGATGTCAAGATGTATGACAGTGTGTGAGTCATCCCTCAGACTGATCAAGAAGATAATGGATAGGCTCCCCGGATAGAGCTAACCACTGTGGTCTGGAAATAGGCAGAGCCCACTTTAAAAAAGGTCAATAAGCTAAAGGACTCCCACACATTAGTTACTGGAGGGAGAAAGGAAGGCGAGAGGAGGCTCAGACTGAGAAGATAAAAGGAATGGGGGGCTCGTAAATCTTGAGCGCTGATGGAAGATGACAGAAGAGTTGCCAATCTAACATCAAACATCTGACCCAGGCAGAAAGATGATTTTATAAACGTGTTACACTCTGCTAGGATAAGGGATTGGAATTGATTAGATGTGGTTGGTACCATGCCAATAGCTATTGGGTCTATCGGTCCAATTCTTTATTGATTCCTCCATCAATTTTCTGAAAGAATATTTAAAGTTATGGCTTGTATATAGATGTTGTTAGTCAAAGATACAAATCTACCAAACGTGTCTAATAGGGAATACAAGTAGCCCTGTTGTCATATTTCTTTGCGAAATACAGTCATGCTTTGGAACTGTTTCTTCATTTGTGCCATGACTCCTTCTTGTAGAGTTTCAGATCATGAAGGCTGAGTTTTTGGGAATGTGCAACCCTCAGAAAAACACAATGATATATACAAAAGGAATTGATCACTTCTGAGGCATACGATTCCGATGGACCAGACGATTTGGAACTGGTTTCCAGTCTCGTGCTGAGATAATGCTAATGGGGATGTCCGCCCATTATCCACTCTACACCTCAAGCACACACATCCAGAGCACTTAGCTGCCAGAGAAGAGTCCGGTGAAATGCAGGATTGTCCCTGTATCCCACAAACGACACACATCTACCACAGCTGCATATCTTTACGTGCCATATGCCTGTAGGAAGCGAGAGATAAGGGCCCCCTCCACTGCACAGCCTCGAGCATGAATTGCCATTACCCCCAAACCCAACGTTACCATGGCAACCAGCCACTATACATTGTAATAAACTCGCTTTAATCCCCAAGGCTGGGTCTGGTTGGATACAACCCACTGCCTCCTTAGATTAGGGCAACCACTGTCATAGACACACACACAAGGTCACAATCAAGTGCACACACACAAGCATCTACCCAACCTCCAATAATCCACAGCATTTTATTTCCTAACCCCACTTCCCACCTTGTGCCTCCATCCATGTGTTTGTAAGCAGGTAATGTACTAGGAAGTCAATCCTCCACATAAATCACTGCGAACACACACCCACGTTTGAGTACGGTACAGCAGATGAACTACTGTGTGGGCATCTACACCTCAGCGTGCAGCGGTACCCTCTGCATTCGTTCATAGGCACGCACTAATGGAAAGTGTATCAAACCGTGCAGTGAAACAAAAGAGCTACAATGAGAAAAGCTATTAACATGCAAGCGCCTTCACAGCCCTCGAGGCAACCCTGGCAGGTATAGCAATGTCTATTTATTGCACTCTCCGGCCTAATTACAGGAGTATGATGCACATTGGAAGCATGAGTTAAATGCAGCATAGGTCTGTTACAGATAAGCTACTCACTTAGATCAATGCTTCACATTACAATGATCAGAAATGTAAGGAGATAAAGAGCAACTCTTGATATAAAAAGGAGAGACAGCATTACAGGAGTGAGGACAAATATTGCTTGAACATTTTGTGACAAAGAAGACTTCATCTGGAAATTAATTGGGGCCAAAAAGAGACATGACTATAGAAACTAACTGGCAGTGTGTGGGTGTACACTCCAAGTGAGACTACATAAAACTTCCCTGCTGTGTCTAACTACTTAGACTTGGGCTGTATTTTAAAAAGGCGGGTTTCAGATGATTTGATTCAAACCCAAAATGGAAGAAATGTGTAAGATGTCCCTTGTAAATAATATGCTATTGTTAAAGAAAAATCTATCAAGTGCGTGTTAAATGATGTATTTGTGATGACCTGGAAATGTTCAAATGAAACTGCTAACAGTCTACCACAACAGCATGTGCATACCAAACTCACCAATCTGAACACTATTGCACATGATTGCACCATACCAGGCCATATTTTTCAGAGGTTTTCTTTGTGGGAATTCTTGCAGGTTTTTGGACGGCAGAATGTGTAGAAGATGGGAATCAAAACAGGGGACATTGCGGTTCAATATCATGCGTTGTAACTACTCTACTACACCCCTAGTTTAAACAGAACACATTAGTTGTCTCGTAAAATCTTTTAAATACAAAATTGGAATAACTGCACACTTATAATCAACAGTATTGGCTAACTGTGTGACTAGGACAGAAGTAGAGAAAGAAAAAGCTTCAGCAAAAAGAGCTGGAAACAATCCAATGCTGTGGCAGCTCCTCTGTCCCTCGAGCATTGATGGCAGGAGAGCAGGTATAAAGAGAAACACCTGCTGTTAACAGGCCTCTCTGCAGGTTTCTCTCTCAGTGTTTGCACCCATTAGCCCAGTGTTACTGCTGTATATCCGCAAAACAGTAGAAACTACAAGTTGTTGTATGCGTCACCGAGCCTGCTGTTTTCCATGAATCCAAACCATTACACAGCTGGCCTTAGCAACGTTTATGTTCAGAGTTTATTTTAAGAGATTTGTTATTGAACGAAGTGATGCTGCATGATGCCTGATAAACGAGACACAAAGCCATCTGGCATGAGTGTGTCAGCACACGCACACACACACACACACACTAGACTGGCAAGAGACCTTGTGGATACCACTTCATTGATTTGGAGTTTAATCCATCTACAGAAGGTCACAGTTAAGTGCTGAATAACAAGTGGACAGTAATTTGAAAGAGTGGCCTTGCCATGGCAATCATAGTCCGTTATGATGCCAGCGTCCTATTTAAATAGTAGAGAGGGAGCGAGTGAGTATAGGAGAGAAAACAACAGCAAGATGATAAGCACACATCAATAAATAAACTTAATTGAGTACTCCTTACATTTACAACAGATGGACAAATGTAAATGATAAATGGACTGTACTTATATAGCACTTTATCCAGTCTTTACGACCCCTCAAAGCGCTTTACATACTACATGTCATTCACCCATTCCCACCCTTTCATACAGAGCAGTGTACCTTACTCTAGGACCTAACATTCACACACATTCACACACCGTTGGCCATGCCATCGGGAGCAACTCAGGGTTAAGTATCTTGCCCAAGGATACATCGACATGTTGACTGCATGGGCTGGGATCGAACCAACAACCTTCTGGTTGAAAGACGAGTGAGTTTTAAACCATTTTAAACCTGTAGGTTACAAGCTCACTCAGGCATCCCTTAAAATTACAACTAAAGTACCCATGATCATAGTTCATCTCTTCACGCTGTAGTCTGTTCAACATTGTTTCATTGCTCAGCACTACCTCAAAATACCTTGCTCTAACTAGTTTTATGTCTATCCAATAGTGGTTCCCGAGTCAAATGCATTTTTGTATTTGGTCTGGCAAAGTCCCACCCAAGCCCCCCCAGAAGAGGGACACTCTTTCAAGCTAATTTTCCTAGTGGCCAAACAATGGTTATAAAACTTTGTCAAGTAATTCCATTGCTTTACAATTCACTTAGGCACATCTGTAAATCAGCTTTTTTTTGTCTTTTTTTTTTTTAGGTAAACCGACTAACCAGTAAAAACATTTGAATAGCCCATATTTAAATCATTAGGTCCTAAAATGTGTTAAATGCTCTAAAAGGAATCCAGAGTTATATTCCCTCTCCATGAATATGACTGAGCCGAGATTATGGAGTGGATTGGAGGCGGGGTTTAAGGAAAAAGAGTGTGCAAATGCTCTCGGGGCCCATTGGATGCGGAAGATCGCCATAGGGAGGATTCAGGTATTTTTGTTCTCAAGCGTCAGGGCATTTTGGCTTCATGTGCCACATCGTAAGAATTAAAGGGTGCCCGCATACAACGCTGTATCCAGTTCTCTATACATCCATGGTCATACCACTTTCCATGAAACTCTTTACAGATGCATTAACCCTTCTAACTGCATGCACCTTTCTTTTTCTTATTTTTTTCCCCTGCTCTCTCACTGAGGGTCTCTTTAATGCCAAAAAAACGACCTGGCTGCCATAAAACAACCGTTTACCAGCAGAAAGATGACCTACTGACACCAGAAGGCCACCCTTTACCGAGGCAATTAATCTTAAATGAAACCCACACAGATATGCATGTAAACATATACACACACACTACACAACAACATTGGGAAAGAGAGATGCCTACCTCCAGGTAAATGGATTCTTGGTTTGACAGCTTCTAAAAACAGGCTTTGAACATGCGACCAAACATTTATAGAGTGAGATTTATATCCATGATTTAGGAGTGCAAGTCGATTTAAGAAACCTAAGGTGACCTATATGTGTTTGCTCACCTGACTCTGTCTGGTAGACTCGTCGTTGCTCGAGTACATCCATCAGCCCTCTCTACTCATAATGGTTTCATCTCCCTTTCCTGTCTCCCCCTCTCCTCCCCTGTTTTTCCCTCCTCTCCTCTCTTCCGCTCGACTACCCTGAATGCTTAATCGTGGCCCCTGCCTTCCGGGAGCACGTAAACACGCCAGCCGCACCATTGGCTGGGCACAGTGGTGTTACTCTGTTTCGATTGGCTGAGGGGAAGGGGCATGGGTGGCAAAAGAAGAAGGGGTTGGTGGTTACCATAGCCCTACAGGATGACTTCTGTCCATGGTAACACACACACACACACACACACACACACACACACACACACACACACACACACACACACACACACACACACACACACACACACCCCC